TTGAATTGTTCATATGTGTAAATGCATTTGACTTTTATTATGCATGTGTTTACGTGTCTCACCTTGTGAGTTTGGTGCCTATCTGCTGCCGTGACTCCAGCCGCTCCTCATCCGTCTGCATTGGCAGAATGTTCTTCTCCTCCAGCTCTCTTTTGGAAGGACGGTTACTCAGCTTGATGGCCAGAGAGTCTTTTCTCAGCACTTTCTGTGCCAGGGTACCTGGGCGAGCACAAAGTTCAAACATGAAACGCTGATGTGACAAACTTGGCCAGAGACCTGTGACTGTGTGGGTAAAAAATGCTATTCCAGCTATTCAATGACTACTCAGATTTTTAATATTTCAATAGATTTAAATAGAACTGATGATGTCATAATAAAAAAAGAGTTGAACAGTAATAAACAATACTGTAAGCGTTTCCTATAATTAGTGACACGTACTTGTAAAAATGGAGTCGTCATCTTCGTCATCCTCGTCGTCATCGTCCACATCATCATCCTCGTCCTTGTACATGCTGGGCAGATCTTCATAGTCGGACTCGTTGGGCAGGTTCTCCTTGTCGTCCTCGTAGTCAATAATAACAGAAGGTATTTCTCGTCTGTCCAGAACCAGACAGTGACCTACACCATGCAAGGCGGCGCTGCTGCAGAGACACAGACACATATTTGTTTGTCAGCCTTAGAACAAACAGCCAATTATTTAATGTGTTGAGTTCATGACCTAACAATCTGACCTTGATAAGAGAATAAGGGTGCACGTTCCCAGGGTTTTTTATTTCTGTTTTTATTACTTACTCCCTAACATCAAGAGAAATAAAATAACTTGCTCACCTGTATTTGAAGTATGTAGAAGAAAAATATAGAACAAAAAGGATCTAGATGACACACAAAACTAAAACACAGAATGTTTTAGGTCTTGGTCTCCACTGATGGGAACAAATTTGTCCCTAAAACATTACTCACTTGCATGTTTTGACCACATTTAATAGATTAAATCATTGGAGTCCCGTCAAGGCCGCCTTTATGTAACCAGGACAGGCTTTCAGACTGATTACGAGCCACGTTAGGATCATTACATCCTTTTTCCTGAGCAAATGGCCTTATTGAAAGAGGGATCCTAATGTGAAAGCTTACATAATGTTCAATTCACTACCCTGCCCTGTTTTCGCTCCAAACGAGAAGCAGCACAGCCCTTGTAAAGAGCAGCTGTTTGTGTTATGTCACTCCAAATGACAAGTGAATTAGAGCACGCTGCCCTGCGAGGCACTGGACTCATTTGGATTTACTGAAGATGGTGAAAATGTCAGAAAAGCAATAATGTAGTAGCAAGAGCTACAAGCTGTGACAGGCAGACTCTGGCACCAACCCTCGGTACTTTGGGTGTGACTGGACGACCTGGCACCAACTGACTGACCTTGGAAAAAGCTCTTAACTTTGTGGAAGCAAGACGCCATTGCTTTTCCGGGCCAAAAGTCAAACATAGGCCTTTAATTATGCAATAGTGGTGTATATGAAATGCAAATTGTGGCATTAAAAGATCTGTGTTTATATAATTGTTTTAACATACTTAGATATGCAAATAGAAAATGTTAAAAACTTACTAAAAACAGTATTAAAAAAAACAGTCATTCCTACATCACAGGTCTTGTCACCTTTTTGGCTTGAGAGGTCTGGACATGAGCACTGCTTAGCACCAACCTTTCAAATCTCTGCATGGACAGGGCCAGGGTTTTATTGAGCTCCTCGATGATCCGACTGGGCGCGTGCAAGCTTCCGTACTGAAGCTGCAGTGGATGGCCGTGGCTCTGGTGATGACCAGAAAGACTGCAGAGCTGGGACGGCAGCAGGGTGCCGTGATGGGACGGCAACACCTGCGGAGGACCACACTTTGGAAGAGTGCTGAGTGGGTTGGGCGATGGCGAAGGAGAGATGGAGGAGTCCAGGCCTCCCGGAGGCACACAAATCATCACTTTTTTTGGAGGGAGTGGTGGCGAGTGTTTTCCTCCAGGCATGCAGGGCAATTTTAGTGGCTGGCATGAATCTGGAGACAAAATAAATCTAAGACACTGCGAGGGAGATAAGACAATCCCCTACACGCCACACTCTGCCTTTGTATGTAGAGAGAGATGGTGAATGTTCAAACATGGCTCAGACATGACAGACAGTGTGTGAGCAGAGGGAATTAGGCCAAGGTAACACAGCTTCCCTGTGCTGACAGATTGACAAGGACACAGAGAGAGAGGGAATGAGAGGGCGAGAGAGCCACCTAAGCACAGGGGAATTTAATCCGACTACCATAATCCTGTGCACGTGTGTTACCTCAGGTACTGTTAGAAACAAAGACAGCACTTCAGTGATGAAGACATGAAATAAATGATAGTGTGTGTGTATGATAATTTAAGTCATATATATACAGTACACCAGAGGCTCTCTACAAGCCAGTCCCAGACTAGTACTGCAGTGTTGGTAATTTGGTAACAGGAAAAAAAACATTTTCAAAAATAGATAAAAAATGAAACCACATTATAGAAATTCAAATGTGTGGGGAATATATCATGACATCACTGATTCATCTGCCAATTAGAAATAGATCCTAACACATCAAGGAGTTTGTCAAAAGAAAAGTGCTTTTTATATTTATATGATTTATATGATTAATAGTTTTGGAAAAAAAAAAACAACCAACATAATGGGTGTTTAATATTCCAGAAATTAAAACAGACAACTGACCTGTGCTATAGTTTGAGATTCTAGAGAAAGGCTTTGGAGGGAGAGCAGGAGGCTGCTTGTGGTACAGTGGCGGCTTGGCAGGTGTATCCTGAAGGTCACCGGGGAAGGTTACAGATTTCTTAGTGGGCAGGACCATTGAGGATTTAATGGATGGCTCCTTGGCATAGATTCCTCCATCCATGGAGGATCGGAATTCAACAGTGGCTAAAAGAAGTGAAAATGAATGAAGAAAGTTTGGAGACAACTTTTCACTAGGAACAATAGACGGGGACACAGAGTGAAATATTTTATTTACAGTTAACATTCCTTTATATTTTATTTATACCGTTGGATTTTTCAATGCTGCCTTCACACAGTATTTTTTACAAAGGCTGGATTTATTTGAGCGGAATTCTGGAAGTTATTTTTCAACAGACACATCGTCTCTGACATTTGTTGAGAAACACTCAGTTTCTCAGTAAAACTTGCAGTGAGCTGTTTCACTCATTCACTTGAAAATACTCAGTCAGGGATGTGGAGATACTGTATATTTGATGAGTCACTTGGTTGGCAAACTTTTAATACTATTCACAACAGGAATGTTTGGCCAATAGGTGGACCACATTCTGGATGTGACCCATATATTTTATTTGGATTCAAACCTGTAACTCATGACTGTCAAACTCCTGGGCCAGGTGACCACCCACATACTCATTTTTATAGACATTACAGATAATGATGACTGGGGTTTTTTCCAGACCTCCACCTTAGAAATGGTCACACTTTGGACCTTGGCAACTAATTGAATACTCCTGTCCTAAATCAATGTGGGTAGTAGTAAAAGAACATTGCTAAAATACAGTAAAACATTGCTGATCTCCATGCTTATGTTTTATTCTTTTTATTAAAGTAGGCTGCACTGGACAGAAGAATCCATCACTTCAATGAATGTTCTTGGCATTCACAGAATCTTGCGAGAAAATCCATGAAATTGTAAAATTAGATTTTTTGCAGATAGTCCTGTGAGAGAAACCGACCGAACATCAGCATTTTTTTAACCTACTGTCCCTTTCTTAACCTCTTGTACCTGAGACAATTTGATAAAATCAAGAGAACACTAAATGTTAAAATAGCACAAACGTTTTTACAGTCATGATTAATAGGAGATTTTATTTAGTGCACCACATATAGTCTTCTCGCAGTAATACACTTTTTATAATGTGTCTAAAATGACAATCTTTCTGAGAGACTGGCTCACCTTTTTCAAAAATCTCCTTCAGTACTCCTCTCTTGATCAGCTCATCTCTGCTCTGTCGCACTGACATTTTCCTCTCCAAAGCTAAAAGGTAACAGAAAAAACAAGGACATTGATTTTTTTATCTAATACAACAAAAACAAAAACATACAGTAGTCACAGAACATTATTGTTTCTGCTGAGGACATCATACCTCAGTGGAAAATCTTGGAATGTGTTGTGGAGACACTGATGCAATATCTTTGACCCAAAACAACTGTCAAGCTAAAATACTTTGTTTTAATAAAAGTAATATAAAAAAGGCAAAAATTACTCTCACAGAACAAAAACCCAAATATTACTGACCATAGTCTGGTACAAGAGGAGCCCAAAACTGCAGATACTGCAAGTGTCTATATTTAGAGTCGAAAGATGCAACGATCAACATCTTTTTAACATTGGAGGAATAAAAGAAAAATATGTTATGGTGCAGCTCAAATGCTTAGTGTGAAAATAAAAAAATATATAATTACATGTGATTTCGCAATTTAAAACAATACATCTGAATATGTTTAAACCCTGCACAATACTGCAGAAGCAAGTCAGCACAAAAAGAGTCCTTTAGGATTGAGGAGTGGTTCATAGAAAATCCAACAGCTAACAAAGATTAAGATAACATCTGATGACCTAACACCACCTCCCCTGGTGCTATCTCCCCCTAACACCGAGGAGTGCTGTGATAATGCACTGAGCCCGATGAGATACTCAAATATTAGACTCTCCCTCCTTTCTGCCTGAAGTGCAGAGCATACTTCCCCGGAGTCAGCCCTCGTCTCCTTAATGTCACACTGCATTCATAATGCTCCCTAACTGTGCCTGGTGTCCAATTATCTAAGACAACGCCTGTGCACCCAGTTGCTGCTCCACTCACACAGACACTAGAGCATAAACAACAGCGAGCATCTGCAGCCCAGGGCGGAGAGAGAAGACGGTTCACAGAGCACTTATGTCGGAGACTGCAGCTCTGACATGGGGGTAACAACCAGACATTTACCATCAACTTTGCCGTCAGGGTGATTAATGTGACCCTGTCTCTGTACAGAAGCCAGAGGAACTGATGGGGGACGTAAAGAGGAGGTCCTGCAGAGCACTGAGTGGTTGATAAGACGCAATAATTCATTTAGATCATTTTAACACAATAAAAAAAGTTTGTATTTTTTCCTTAAAAAAATAATACTTTTTTTTCTGATAGAGGCTTTTAACTTGGGAAATTCTTGTATTCTTTACCTTTAAAGGTAATTCATTTTACACAGGAAACCTGTCGTGCAGTGGTTATGTTCAGTCTAGTTGTGATGAACAGGCTGTCATCATAAATTTGATGAATGATTAACTGAGGGCCAATGAGTGGTGGAAAGATATTCCATTTCAGAAAACACAGATCAATAGAGGGTCAACCAGAATCAATCCTTGTTTATTGGATCAGACAGGCTGAGTAAGACTGGATTTTCACTGGAATCAAAAGTAAAAGTGCTATTTCCTGGTATTTTTATTATTTTACTCTGCCTGTCTCATTCTATTTATCTGGATTTATTTTTTCGAAATCCAGTCCATGGATGTGACAGTCTGTGCTTTTGCCGGGCCAATGACTGGCAGCAGTTATTTGATCTGCCTTTGTAGCTGAAAGTCACACACAAGAGGGAAATTAGAAATCTGTCAAACAGCAAGATTTCACTATTCATAAGCCACACTGAAGTCTCATCATAATGAAGAACTGACAGCATGATTGACGGAAGTAAATCTTAGCTGCTCATTTATAAAGTGGATTCAGCTGAAGGTTTTTTGATTAACCATTGAACTTCTGCACTGCTCAATAAAGCTAACAGGGTTTTTACATTTTTATGATGTGTTAGCATATCGTCCACATTTTAGACATATTTTATTTCCTGCTGTAGACAATCTGACTTCATGACATCCACCAGGTCTGTGTATCTTCACAGCAAATACATATACATACTAACACAGAGGGAACAAAGGGGGAATAAGCCAAAGACTGAGAGTCCTGCCTTGTACCGGCCCTTTAAGATAATCTGATTTTACCTTCCATTGCTTCTCTGTCCATATACTGTATTAATTTGACGACAGCCACGACGTGCATTAGGAAGCAATCAAAAAAGCATCAAACAGGTTTGATACAGCACTACACTGTGCATCAACTCTGATATAACAGAAAGGCCCTTTGTTGCTTGGCATTCACTTATGATCTATCGATGGAGAAAGGCATACAATCAACAGTCAACATCCACTGTTTGACTAAGAATAGACAATGTATTAGAACTGACTGTTCTAATCCTGTAAAATAACACAAATTTCATTACCGCTTCTTGCAGTACTTTCATCTTTCTTAAATGATAAAAACCTCAACAATATCTTTTTAAGTATTGATTCTCTTTTCTTTCTTATGTTCACTCTCAGACATCTGGTGCTCTGTTAAGAAGGGTTATTTTAAGGAGAGAGGACTTAAAAAAAAAAAAAAAAAAACTTCCATATCTCAAGATGTTCTCTGTCATGACAGTAACAATCCCACTATTGTACATGCTATAACTAACTAATGTTTTCACCAAGACTAGTTTTCCAAAACATTGCTTTATTCACTGTGCCACATTAATGCAGCTGTGTCTTTTCAAAGTGAGCATGTCCTTCACTCGCCCGTGACAACACCGCTCGGCATGATCAAAGTGTGCCACTAAAGAGACTTGAAATCATGAAACTCCAACTCTGCACTTTTCCTGAATCAATTTCCTGCAATTTCAATCACCCAGGAGACTTATGTTAAAACATATATTTCTTTAGACCTAAGAAAAACGAAAAACTGTAACTGAGACAAGTTTAACAGCTATTGTTATGAAGTTGGAACCTGTGTGTACTGTGCTCGGCCTATCTAGTTCACCTTCACAATGTTAACAAAATTCGTGCTACATACCAGCGGAGGTCTGCTTGAACTTCTCACTCTTCTTCTTCCTCCACTTCCACGGCTTCAGCAGACGGCCCAGAGTGGAAAATTTGCTCCGATTACGAATAGGTGGTGTGTGAGCGCCGGAGAGCAGGGATTCAGAACGCATGGCGGCCAGTCTCTCTACTTCATCAGCTGTAAAGAAGAAAAAGAAACAGTATGCTTAGGTGATAAGGCAAGGATGATTAGCTAATATTAATCATGCAGTAGAGGTGGGAGTGACATTTGTGCTTATGAAGAGCCAAGCAAAGGGATCCTGTGCCAAATGGCCTCCTGGATCCTCCAGTAATTGTAGGAGACGGTGAGAGGATATATAAAAAAAATATATCCAATATTAAATTGCATTAGGCTGCGAATACAGTTCAAGGCTAAGCGTGTTGGCATTGGCTTGTCAAAACACACTCAACAAACTGATAAACACCTCATTAAAAGAAAATCTTCCACACTTCATTAAATATTTACAGAGCCCAGCCTTTCACAGTTCCACACACCGCTGGACCACAGCAGCATAAGAGTGAGTATTTTTTCCAGATAAAAAGGTTATAGTTGTTTTAGAAAAATCCTACCGAGCTTCAAACGCCCGGGGAAGAGAAAACAAAGAAACAAAAGCTTAGAATAAAGCTGCAGTTTAAATACATAAAGACAAAACATTTCTTCACGTTACAGCGTGAAAAAGTGTTACGAATTATCAATCTTTTTTTCCCCCGCTTCTTTTCAAACCCAATTGTCCAATCGATTATGGCTACAGCTTTTATCACCATGCAGACTTTTTCAATTATTCCTCACACCGAAATGAGAACAACAATAAATATTTGTAGCTGTGCGACTTGTGTTACCCTACACACGGAGGACGACAGTGGAAGCAGAAGCATTTTAAAAACAACTGTGCTCCAGGAAGTTCCAGTGCCATCATGGTCATTGACACTGTGGCCCATCACCACAGACCATACATAATAAATTAACACAGACATCTGGTTTTAAGATTGAAGCTTAACAACTAGGCCAAGGCGCTCTGCTGGTTTTCAAAGTAGACCTACTTCCTTTCACTAGAGCTGTATCTCATTCTGAGCTCCACTTGAATCACAGAAGTTGTGATTATGAGATTTGGACGTCTTGCTTCTGTTCAAGCATTTGCTAAAATAGGGCAACAAAGTGAGTCAGCAGCATGTGTAAGCACGGAGGCCTTCAAAATATGGAGTGAATTCAGAACATGTAGGAAATCTGAACCTGAAAGGGTATTATCATGGATATCAGCTCTGGACAAATTACTGACGTTTGCCTTTTCTTACTGATTAGCAAAAGCTGTAGTTCAGGTTTTAGTTGTCATTATTATGTAATATTTGAAGAAACTACAGCTATGTTTTTCCTCTACTGCATATAATCTATATGTATCTTCAATGACTGTAAATACCTGCTTGGTTTCTGTAAAGGTGCATCACATTTAGGATTTTTCCAACATTTATATCACATATCACATAGCATATCACATAACAGAAGTCACTCCTCTAGAGCCTGGGGACCCTGTGATAAATCATGTGACTGTAATGCAGTAGCAATCAGTCCCATGGACCGTTACTTTGATGCTCTGGTGCCTCACAGCCAACCATCTTTACATTCCTGCCACCGCCCCGCTCTATAAATACCTCCACAGTGACTACTGGATGGATGCAGTGGAGATTTAAATTAGTTCATTAGCTGACCAAAGGCTATTTATAGAAGTAGGAAGAGGGGGGAAAGAGACAAATATCTGGTATTAATAGAGTGGGTTTTACATTAGTAATGTCCTGTAAATGAGTCAAATGAAGATCATAAGGTTTATCTACATCACAAACACACTGCACAAAATCAGTGAGACGTGTTTTTAATCTTCACTGAATATCATTTGGTGCATTATTTTATTTTAAAACCTAATTCTTGTCAGGTTCTTGGGCAGGCTGGGGGCATCTACAGTCGATCACAGGGTCCAGGAGTAGAGAAAAAACAACCACTCACAGTCAAACTCAAATACCTATGGCCAGTTTAGAGAGTCTATTTAACCTGATAATAAATGTTTTTTAACTGCAGGAGTATCTGCAGAAAACCAATGCAAACAATGGGAAGAACGTGCAAATTCCATCCAGAAAGCTAGGGATTGAATCAGTGTAAGGCATGAGCACTAACCTCTCCTTTGCCATGTATTCCAATTTGGTGCAGTATGTTGTTATTTAGGTCTGGGAAAATCCCTGCTGAGCGTAAGCAGCAAAGTAGAATGGGGCCAAATGGTGAAGAACATCACATTCCAATGACCCCCATAATAATGGAATGAATACGTTTTTCCTGTGTGTGCAATCACTCTTGACTATAATGTAAGACAAACATGTGTTGGTTCTGCTTTTAATTAAAAACACTTGTTTGTGCACCAAGATGGCAGAGTGGTGATGTAATGACACTTAAATGGAAACCTCTTTGTGTAAACAGCCTGCAGAGTTGCATGCCTTTTTATTGACAGCAACAGTCAGACCAACACTGAGAAACAAAAAGCAACAAGCAGCAGGTCAAGACCGGGGCCGACACCCTCAGGAGTTCTGATAAAGGGACCCACTGGTCATGCAATACGTGGTGTGTAGTAAAGATGAACACAGCATGACAGACGCAGAACACACAGTGAGTGATGGAGCTCATGGAACGCACTGTGCAGACGCACAAAGCATGCATGTCGAGGATCAGCAGCCTGTGGCGCATGGCAGCACTGCAGGACCACCGTGGACAAAACCACACGTCCCCAGTCCTCCCGTCTCAGTACTCACCGTCCTGCGTGTTGTTTCCGCGGCTGCAGTTGCTGCAAATGTGCTTTATCTCTTTTCCGATGTGACAGTGGATGGTGAACGGTATATTGTTGTTGTGGTGGCCGTGCCGCTGGTGCGCATTCTGGCCCTGGCTTTTCTTGCTGGGCAGGGACATTATTTTGACCAGGCTGAACGCCTTCTTCTTAGGCTTCTCCACCGCCACCGGCGCGTTTTCCACATACCCCGAGGAGAACCAAGTGCCGTGCATGAAGGTGGGTGCAGGATCCACGCTCGGGTAATTCGCCGTCTTGAACATTTTGGTGAGGACGCGGAAAACAAAGCGGTGCGTCGGCGCGCAGTGTGTGTGTGGGTTGGATTTAAAGGGCCATCAATTAAGTCGGCCTACCTGCCCTGTTTCCCATCACAGCATCCGCGTCCACTGACCCACAACCGGCCGCTCTCTCCCACTGCTCGGTTCCCACACCTTTACCTGATATCCGCATATGCAGACGACGGGATACGTACCGCGGCAGCCTCACTGCCGACACAAACCCTGCAGCCGGATCCGCTAATAACAATACCGAGGATGAGTAGAGTGAATGGCAGTGACTACCTCTCCCTCACTGAGCTGTGGACTGCAGTCGGTTGTGGCTAATCCACGATAAATGGAGCTGAGCATTGCATGTCTGTGATTGGCTGCGCCCTGCGCTCTGCTAATAATCCAGTGTGGATGAGCGAAAAGTTCCCCCTCTCTCTCTCCCCCTCTCTCTATTTCTCACATCCTTATCAATCTCTCATTTTCTCTCAAGATTTTTTTTTTACTCATCCTCACCAATAAAATCTTATGTCTCAGTTCACCTAATGTGCCAAATAAGTGTCTTTTGTGTAACACTGAAAAAAATATTTCTCAGAGCAAATGGTGGAAGAGTGGTTACTACAGCTAAAAGATCACCGGTTCCAACCTCCGTGGTAATTAATGGAACAACTGCATAGAGATGTATGTAATATTTGATAGAGATTATTGCGTTGACAACAACCAAGCGAACAGTGATGGAAACAGTCGAGCAACTCCATAATCACTGAACACAGCTGCAGCTGCTGCTGCATCAAAACTGGCTCCCTGTGACGTTATCATTCAAAGATAAAGGAATGATTAAAGGTTAATAGGCATATACAAACTATCATAATCTCTGCATCTTAGATTGTTTGCAGTTATAATGTTCTGTCACATGGTTCATATTGTGGTCCAAACCAGTTTTGCTTCAGCAGTTGTGATAGTACTAATTGTATGCCTCATTATGAATTGCCTGTCGGGGTAACACAGAATGTGTGAAAGGATGTGCTGTTTCCTGCAGTCTCAGTTATCACTTGAACCCCACAAAGTCCACTGAGCCCTAAAAAAAGGTGTTTTAAGTCCCATCATGAAGTATTCCAAGAAGTCATCACTACATCAGATAAATGGTTCACCAGTACAAAGTTACGTCAGTCCAGGGTGATATGGAATTTTTTGTCTTAATTTAGCCCCACGACCCACATTTGGGTCACGAACCACAATTTGAAAAGAAAAAAAAAATGCCTTAGAGATGGGTTTTGCTTAAAATAGGCTGCCATGACACAGCTTTCTAGCAGTTGGAGCTGACGAGCCAACTAGAGTGGGGGCGTCACATTTTAAAGGAGAAGTTTAGTATGCAAGTATTCATTTCACTGCAAAGCTCACATGTGCCTGGAGTAACTCCCCCTCCCCTCCCCTCCTCTCCCCTCCTCTCCCCTCCTCTCCTCTCCTCTTGTTGTGTAACCTCTTTACATCGTTATCCCACGTATTAAAACCACCTGTGAACATGACAGGACTGTAAATGTCACTGTGTTTTCCTCTAAACATATAACCTTTTCATCAGTATTTATATCAATACCATTAGTAAAGTTAGTAAAATATTGTGCATTTAAATTTAAATTAAGCATGAAAATACTGCACATATTTTCAACATTAGTGTGTGTTTCATAAATTAAAAATAACTTTTATGCTTCATTGACTATGCTAACACATTTTACAGTATTGTGTTAAATAATTGAAATTGTTTCATTTGCTTTTAGATGGAAGGAGTCTATGAAGTTTTAATTCTGCATGTGTAATAAAGTCATACATACTGTACGTGATGATGTTTTTATTATATTCATCTCCTACTTCTTAGTGGGTGTGTGTATGTTACAATTGAAATACTGTATATTGAGTCTGCAGATAATGTACCAGAATAAAAAGCATGTCATACTACTACTAGTAATAGTAGTAGTAGTAACACAGAGCTCTAGAAATAAACCATAAACGGCAGCAGATGAGGGAGTCTACTGTACGTCATTTTGTAGCTACTACAGCTTCCTCTTTATTCACTGTTACTGCAATTACAAAAGCAAGGTGTTTGGTAAACAATGAAGAAAAAAGATTAGAAGAGCTGTGTGAAATAAAATCAAATTAAAGCCCCTTAGCAGTGGAGCCTTAATCACTTGATTAACTGCCAGCACAGAGCAGTGCAGCTGTTGTCCAATTGGCTTCTTCGTTCAAAGTTGGTCTTTCATACATCTTCTTCCACTACTACTACTACTACTACTAATAATAATAATAATAATAATAACAATAATAATAAGCTAAACTCTTCTTGGTTTTTTTAACCTTAAACTCCTCAATTTTTTTATGTTAAAGGTTCTGCCTAGGGTCATTTCCTGGCTCCAAAACTCCTTACAGCATCATGGTGTTGTCAATTTGTTGAATTAAAAAAAAAAAGTCCACACAGAGGTATTTAAGAGATACTTTCATTGATTTTTACTCCTTGTTATCCCTTCAAAAATGGCAGCGGTCTCATAGTTGACATACTGTAATAAAATACATAACGGTCACTTGTTGCCACTTAGCACCTTTCAATAAACTGAAACCGGTGAAGCTACTTCAACCAAAGCTGTTTGGAAGCATTTGCTGTTTCCTCGTGACTCACATCTGATGGACATGCTCTCTCACAGCGTTGTTGCCATGACACTTTAGTAAATGTTTTAAATGTGACTCTGAAAAAACAGGGAAGAACATTCATTCTGCTGCACGTCTCAGGACAAACATTTCCCTTCAGTGACAGTCACCATCCTTGTTTTCTTGAAAATCTCAGGATTTGTTTTTGAACCAGTTTACTTGGAAGTAGTCCAGTTTTGAGGCCTGGCGATCTCGTAACGTCCGACAAAGCAGCCTGTCACTACAAATCTGCTGTTCCTGTTCTCTCTGTCTCTCTATCTCTGCCCATCTGCCAGTCTCTCTTGGCAGTATTGTCTATCTTAGAGGAACTTACAGTACAACACAGCTAAAAATAAAATTAACATAATGGTGAAAGTGCAGTGCGTATGTGCAGTATGTAGTGTGTGGGCCAGTCTACCTAAATTTCAGAGTGATATAATTATTGCATCCGTTTTCAAGATTTTGTGAAAAGCTTACAGAAATATGGTATTATTATAATAAATGTACATGCTGGAACACAGCAAATGAATGATTAACTCATTGTAAAGCGTAGGCTGGAGATCAAGACACACACAAATACTCAGGCCAAAAACACGTGAAAAGACGTTTAAATATCACATATTATATTTAACAGAAAAATCTCTTTATTTCTGACATTGTCGCAAATGGCCAACAAACCATAACACGTATAGGCAGTCATAGTACTACAATGCTGCCATCTAGTGTCAATATCTTGTATTTAGTAGCACTGTAAAAAGATATATTAAACGTGCCGTACAGGATAAAATAATGTATTACAGTAATAATTTAACTGGCATAATTATATGAATTATACATAATATACATAATTATACACCGTTGTTTAACTCAACAACTGTTGTGTCACTAACATAACCTACTTAGGATGACTAACAAATATTATTGAAGTATTGAATAAACTAAACCAAAAAGAACTAACAAAACAGAGTTCTTAAAAAATTCATTTTGTAAAGTAAAGGTACAGATTGTGGCACTGATTTTTATCAGGGTCAATATCTGTGTGGTGGGCTGATGCCCAAGATGGAGAAACGGAGAATGAAGTAATGGATGCAGCAAGTACAAAAGAGGAGAACATTTTGGTTGCACTTGCAGGTTCACCTGCCTACCCACAGGCTGTGCATGATTCTAAATATTCTCTGAAATGTGTGGAATGTGACAAGGGATTTTCTTATTGCAAGAGTTTTCAGAAGCACCAGAGCAAACGTTCCAAGAAATAACCCAGGAAGAAACAACAAACAAACATTAACCATGCAGTTACCAACGGATGTGAGGTCTGTTCACCTCACACTACTGATTTTAACTGCAGAAAGTAAAACTAAAACGCCTCCAAACTCTGCCAACCCAGCAGATGACTCCCACTCCAGGCCCTGCGCTGAACAGTGCACCACGTGTTAAAAAAAAAGCTTTAAAGAACTCATCATGCAAAAGGCATGCCAAGGTTCACACAGGGGAGTGGCCGTTCACGTGTTCATGGACATGGAGTTTTAGTAGTTAAATGTGCTCTATGCATTCATTTCTAATGTACATACAATACACTCAGCCTTGTCCAGCTGCCTTGTCATTGAGCAAGGCAGTTGGATAGTAGTTAGAAATGAATGGATAATGATGAAATTTAACAAACGTTGGCTCAAAATGAGGTGCAGGTTGCAGATAGGCAAAATGTAGCAAAGTAGCTAAAAGTTCAAGTAAATGACTATGCCTTTTCATGAAAATGCAGGAGCAAGCATTGATCCACTAGAGGACAGTGTTGCTTCAGAGACTTCCTCACCATGCACAGTCCATTATGGTCTGTATGAGTCGGTTGATTATGTCCTAATTTCACAGACCAACCTCCCATGAAATTAAGACAGGCAACCAATTTCTATTACAGCATGTACAGCTGTCAAAATTAAAATGGGTTTTGGAGTACACCACTTATTGGTATTAAAACGTGTCACGTATGAGTGCAGACAAAAGGCAAGAGTGTATAAAAAAAACGTGTACTGCCAGCAGAGAATATTAAAGATATGTCCCGTACGCTGTGTTTCTTTTGCACAGATTTTTACCGTTTGTTTTTCCACAGGGGTCCTCTAATTAAGAAACTGTGTTTCAGACAGTGTTCCAGTGACAGACTGCGACCTCTCTGAGAACATCTCCTCTCTACATGAGAAATGCACGCGTGGTCATTTGTGGCGGTGGTGTGTGATGAGAACTCTAATAAGGAAAGTGGGAACAACGCTCACATGAGTCATAAAGGCAGCAGTTGTGAGATAATAAGGTTTGGTTATTGTATGCTGACAGAATCGCAGGGTTTGACAGCAAGGTAAGTACTTGTCGTTACAGGACAAAGTCAGACAAAATGAGAGCAGCACTTAATGGTTAGCAGACTGTGTGCTCGTCTCCTCTGGGATGTCTCTGAGAGTCTGTCTCGGAGATTTCCCTCAGTCTATCCACCTTGTTGATAACTGAAGTGGTGAAGTGGTGCTGATCTAAGGGTGTAAACTGGGTTGAGCGTGTCTTCTTGTCTGCAGCTGTTAGGAAACCACATCAGAAGTTAGGTTTATTTATTTTGTCAATAGACTTCAATGGACTTTAGGATATAAATAAATATGGTTCTGGAACGGAAAGAAAGTCTCCTCAAAGACTAAATAACTTCTTTCCTTTCCCTATACTAACTCCTCTGCTGTCAGTCATCTTCTCTGGAGTTTTTGTCTCTTCACTCTGGACTGGAGCTTTCTCAGAGTCCAGTAATGTCCTCTATCTCCTCTCAGCACATGTCCAAACCATTTTAAACCTTGTCTCTCTGATTTTATCTCCACCCTGCTTGAAAGAAGCCGTCCCTCCACAGTTCTCTCTCCTAATCCTGTCTGACTTGAAAGAAGCCACAGTTCTCTCTCCTAATCCTGTCTGTCCTGGTCGATTTCAGCTTACAAATATAAAAAGCTTTGCTGTTAGATTACTTGAAATTACGAGGTAGAATTACTCATTCTTTGTTACTAATGATCTGTGTCAGTACTGGTGAGCACACTACCTCGAATTATAGGTTTTTTTTATGTGACCAAGCAACTAAATCTAAATTGTCCAGTCTTGTCTGTAGTGTAACTAGGAATTCAATTTTAAATTAACATTACATTATTACATTACAAAATGTATTAATAAATAAATACATACAAATACATATATATATACACACACACATTCAATAGTCAGATTTCAATATATATTTTTATTTCTAGACTGGTTGTGTGAGCTGAGATAATGGAGGACAGGATATTGTCCTGCCGATTCAATTACTTTGTCTCACACTCATTCTGCCTCTGCTGTATCTGCCTTCACACAGGCTCCTGGAACTGTCTGACCAGACCTGACCAGACCAGACTGCCTGACCATTATAATCTACAACAAGAGGATTTATGCAGCCCATTATTACCTGATGGTAATCATCTCTAAAAATAGACATGGCTGTGGGGAATCTCTCTCTCTCCACTCAGGGATTAACAAACATCCTCTGTTCTGGTGTTTTCTCATTTAAAAGAAAACGCCAGGTTTGATGATCAGGAGTCATAATATTTCCTGACTTTTTAATCAATGCAAAAACTCACAAGATTTTTGAGTACTGTATAGACCGCTGAGTGGTGCAATGCAGCTTCGATTGCATTGGGTCCCCTTCTGGCAGCAGCACTGGTGAAGTGGCTCTGACTCCAGGTTAGACCCTTACTCAGCGAAAATGTCTTACAGAGACGAGGCA